GAATGCGTCAACTGCTTCTTCTGATGACTGGAACCTTTAACAGCGCAGTCTGTTTTTAGTTTTCGGGAAAGTAAAGAAATCGTTAGGAGTTAGATAGGGACTATGTGGAGGATGGTCCAATAATTCCACGTTTTCTTCCGTTAAATACTGCCTTGTTGTTTGGGATGTGTGCGAGCTTGCATTGTCTTGGTGGAGGATGATTCTTCTTTCGGGGTTGATCTTTCGAAGCTCGGTGATAACTTTTGGTAAACAAATGGTGTTATACCAGTCCGCAGTAACAGTTCTTTGCTCATTAAGAGGAATTGTTCCAATATGACCCGCGTTTGACACAAATGTCGCGACCATGTTTTTCGAAACACTTCGAGAACGGATGACTTTTGTTGGCTTTTCTTCACCTTGGAACACCCAAACAGCCGACTGTCGTTTATTTTCTGGTTCATAACAATAAATCCACGATACATCACCACATTTTTTGAGTTTCCGGAAATGTAACGGTCAAGCGTTTTTTGACACCAATTAACCCTGGCTGCTTTCTGCTCTTCAGTCAACAGGTGGGGTATCCAACAAGAAACTAATTTTCTTACTCCTAATTCTTCATGTAAAATTTTTTGAATTGAGGTCTTTGAGATCTTCAAGGACGCCTCAATCTCGCGATATGTCACATGTCTATCTTCAATGATGAGTTTTCGCACAGCATCGACGTTTTCCTGGGTGACTGCCGTTTTTGGTGCACCCACCCTGGGATCGTCGCTATGACTCACTCACCCATCCGCGTTTGAATTCTCCATACCATCGGGAAGTTGTCGACTGATGTGGCGCTTCGTTGCCGAAAACAGACAATAACTCAGCAAGGCATTCTTGTTGCGATAATTGTCTCTGAAAGTTGTAATAAATTATGGCGCGAAAATGTTCTCGGTTGAGTTCCATTTTTCTAATGACTTGGTGACACTTAAAAATTCACTGTAGTGAGAACACTGCACGTATTGTTGTGAAACTTTGAATTTAAGTTTACTAAAGAGTGAGGTTAAGATTCAGTACTGACGTTCGATCCGCGCGGCCTATTATGTTTCTATATGCAAAACTTAAAAGACATCCCTCGTAACGGCTTGGCCACGGGGACGATACGGCGCAGTTAACCGGCCACAAGCAGTCACGTTTGCCGCCGCGACTAGTATAGGCCGAGAGTAAAATGCGTTTATCAACATTATCTGGATATTGCTTACTGTTGGACCAGCGAAAGATTGCAAGCCGAAAGAATGCGGACAAAAAATTGCGAAGTTGTCAGATGTTCTACATAAAATGCGGTCCATACATATTAACATATTTAAGATATAGAATTGTTCCGCTGAATTTGGCAATGTAGCTGGAAAACCCAGGCCGCAGGTAAACATCCGGTCGCTGATTGGTCCAAAACTCTTATCTTATCTGAAACTAGAATAACGTGCCGATGGCACGGTCATTTATAAACCTACTCCCATAGGCGTAGGCAGTTGGCAAATACTTTGAAAATATAATTTACTGTTTAGTGGTGATAATGGAATTCAAGCATGGGAAAGTTATTCACAGCCAGGCAAGGGAAATAATAGCAAACGTGATACGTGCTTGCGATGCAGAAGCGGCTAACAATACTTTCGTTTATCCACTGGTAGCTAGAAATGCAAGGGCGGCATATTATACGGGTGTTAGTGAACGAACTATAAGTAAAATTAGAAAAGAAGATAAAGACAGGCAAAATGCAACCTCCACACAGCCTTTAGCTTCTCCCGGAAAAAAGAGATCACGCCCTTCTGTGATCCAAAAAATTGATGGAGTCGATTTTTCCATTATTCGGAGAATGATAGAAAAATTTTACTGTGATTTTAAAGTGGTACCTACTTGTAGTAAACTTCTAATCAAACTGAAGGAAGAAATGGAATTTCCATTTGGTAAAGAATCGTTGAGGCTGCTTTTAAAAGCAAAAGGATTTTACTGGCGTAAATGCCACAACAAAAGGAAATTACTAATGGAAAGACCCAGTATTTTACATTGGCGATACAAGTATCTTAGGTCTATTAAAAAGTTCCGGGAAGAAGGAAGGCATATTATTTATTTGGACGAAACTTGGGTTGATAATGACCTCACTTTCAAGAAATGCTGGCAAAGCGAAGAAATTATGGGTGTCCTGAGCAATATAAGTTCTACAGGTAATAAAGTTTCTTTCACCTCGATTTTGCTTATTATACATTTTTCTCAATTTTGGAATATTCTTAATAAGTGCTCATTTAATTTGTCTAATTGAATACATAATCCCTTGCAAGTATTTTTTTCTCAAAAATATGTTTTTTATACATAGTGATTCAAAAAGGTGTTGGCAAACTTAAAATAACACTAAAATGAGGCTATTTATTCATTTCCAGGACGACTTATAATTGTTCATGCGGGTTCGCAAGATGGTTTTGTTCCTGGAGCCTGTCTCATTTTCAAGGCTGGCTGTGCCACTGGTGATTATCACGGTCAAATGAACCAAGAAAATTTCACGAAGTGGCTTACTGAAAAACTATTTCCTAACATTCCTCCTAATAGTATTATAATAATGGATAATGCACCTTACCATTCAGCTTTGGAAGACAAGCCTCCAACTAGATCTTCTCTAAAAAGAGACATCATCACGTGGTTGAGCAAAAAAGGTATAGAGCATGATCCTAATGCTAAAAAAATGGAGCTTTATGAAATAGCTTGTCTACATAGGCCACCATCTGATGAGAAAAATTATAAGATAGATAATTTAATAAGAAGTTTCGGACACACCCCACTTCGAACGCCACCCTATATGTGTCAGTTTAATCCCATAGAGATGATTTGGGCACAAGTAAAATTTTTCATTAGAAGCCATAATACAAGCGGCGAATTTACTATAAAAAAACTAGATGAAATTTCTAATAAGGCCATCGCTTCAGTAAGTGCCAGTGACTGGCAAAAGGTTATTGGACATGTTATAAAAATTGAAGATGAATATTGGGAAAAAGACAGTCTCATTCAAGAAATACAGGAAGAAATAATAATCAACATAGGAGGTGAAAGTGATAGCAATGACAGTTCCTCAGACAGTGATCATGACTCTAATCAGGATTGAAACTATACTAGATTGGCTACCTTTTAGAATTTTTAGATATTCATTTATTATACTATTGGTTTGTGGCTTTTAGTATCTCAGTAGAAAGTCTAATTCTATGTGTTGTTTATGGGTTATTTCATCAAGAAATTACTTTTTGTTTTCCTATATTTTTCTATTCAGTCAGATATTTTTGACTTGTTGTATTCTATTTTAGAAGAATGCATAATTTGTTTTGCTGTTCAATCATAATGCGTACATAGGAATATTACTTGTTGCCTAAAAAATATATTTATTTTGTTCTCAATATTCAGTGTTTGTGTATATTTATTTCTTATAATGTATGTTTGGTATCACGTCATTATGAATCGCAAAAAAATATTAATACTACCAGTTGTAATAAAATATAAATTCAATTAATAATTCAAGTCTCTCCGATCTCCGCCTATGACTCCATATAAAATCGTCTAATGGTAAGGTTTTTTCATCGCATTTCCCCCTTTCGTCCCTAGCAATCTTTGGCTGGTCGATCTATAGAAAGTAATAGTTTTTTGGTTCAAGACAATTTATGGAAGAAATTGTGGAGAAAATAAGTTGAATCGGGGTAGAGGTGTAGAATTCCACAAGAAGTACGAGAAATATAGCATATATCCAGAAATCTTTTTGAGCATACCAGATTATATTCTAATTAATATTCAACCAGAATTGGAAAAAAGTCAATGCAGATAGAATTTTAAATGTCGCTGAAAAATTGTTTTTGACATTAAGGTATGTACCTATATATAAGGGATGACATTTAATTAGCTGGGCATATTTTGGTTAGTGGTAACTCTCTAGCTTAGTTACACCAGCCGTTTTTGATGAAAACATTATTTCAGACCCTATTTTTTGGATGTAGATGAAAGAAATAAGACTAAAAATGAGAGCAAACATGAAAGTTCTGAAATATTGAACTATATAATAGGTTTTTATTGAATGTATGTTTTCAAAGACTGTGCGATGTTGCCAGATTTCAATACTTCATAGGTTTTCGTGTTGATGGATATTCTTAATAACCAAATTTGTATGTATGACTTCGAACTCCACATAACCCTAAATAACGTCTAGTGCACCATGACTCGAAGAGGGAGAAATTCTAGACAAGGAGAGCTTCTACGCTTCGTTATTTTTTTATTTTTCTTGCATATGGCAATGTCACGATATGTATAGGATCCGTTCCATCGTGCAAATGTCGTGATTAAGAGAGCGTTTATATCTTTTAAAACCCAGATTATCTCAACAATGTATTCTGCAACTAACACATGTGCTGGCATTTTTATTCTCATTTCTCATCAAACCTAGTGCCTATTCGGACAGAGAAACAAAAAAAAAAGATCGTGTAGCTAACCTAGAGAATTACCTGAGAAAGGATAGTACCCATCAATATGAACAACTTTCCCGAAAAAACATATGGTCGCAAACATAATCTTTTCATAATTAAATTTTTTCGGAACTATCATTGCCCAAAAATGGTTAGCTAATTAAATGTCACCCTGTATACTAATATTTCATGAAATTAAAATACTTTACAATAATATCTTATTTATTTGAGTTGTGTGGGTGGTCAGACTTCCAAATACCTGGCCTAGCAAGTATTCCAGTAATCACTGCACTATTCCCCGCGACTGCTGCTCGACTCCGTAGCTTCCGCCGTAGTGATTCATGCCTTTGTTTCACTCAGTCGCGGCTCGCTCAGTTCATTTCGCCAGTCGCTTCGCCGTTCGCCGCTGCGCTGTTAGTACCGCGCGAATATTCGCTGTGGCCAGGCCGTAACATTGAACTTGACATGGTCTTGGTCCTCTTTCATTTTACTTGACTATAGCCCCTATCGATGACCACACTCATCAAACATATATTTTATTGGTTTTAGGAAACCACTTGTGGGACATGACAAGCTCTTCGAAAATTTAAAGTGGCCAAAATTCGAGAGCAAACGTTTGCAGTATATGTGGATAGACGAGGAGTCAGCGGTACTTTCTGACCCAAGGAATTACTCTACGAAAAGGGTAGTATGGGACAAACATGCAAGAGAGCCATTATCTATCTATTGAAGACTGAATGAAACGTAAAATAAAAGCAATTCAAATTATCATTGTTGGATCTTGGAATATTGTTTTCTTTCTATTAGTAAAAAATGGTGTCAAGTAGATTGACTCTATACTTTCCACAACTTCTAGTACAGTTTTTCATGTTGTGCAATGCCATGAAAAAGACGCATATTTTGTCAGAAGAAGTAACGCATTATTTGGGCTTTTCATGATTGAAAATTTCCTCGGATTGCAGCAATGAACGTATCTGTACACGGAAAACTGCTTGTAAAGAATGTTTGATCAATTATTATAATTGCACTTTATAAATACATACAGGGTGTTTCAGTTTATTGTTGCATAACTTTAAGATTCGATAGAACCTTTAAAATTAATGCATAAACTCTATATAAACATGGGTCGAAATATGCGTGGCTTCCGAAATGCAGGGTGTTTAAATTTACTTTCTAAAATAGTTTTTTTTAAATATTTCGAACAATATTTGATGTATAACAGTGAAAATTGACATCCAAGGGTTTTTTGGTACGACAAAACGAACCATGGGCATAGTTTTACTGTAGCCGTTAGAGGGCGCTCTCTACTGTACCTGTAGTGTATTAAAATGACCGAAAATTTTTACTTAGTGCAACTTTTTGCTTTTTGAATAAAAAAACTGATTCTTCGCACTTTTCAACATAAAAAAGCTCTCTTGTGAATTTTCGTTATAGTTAGCCGTTTTTGAGATATTTCGATTTTTAAGGTTCGATGCATTTTTTATTATTTATGATAAAATAACGTTAAAAAGTCAGTATCTCGATAATTTTTAGAAGTAGGCTGTGCCTGCAAATATTTTTGAAATTGAAAGTATGCAGTTCGGGAAAGAAATTTTCAGCATGAATTTAGTGTGAACGTGTGGATTGGTATCTACCGGAATCGACTATTTAGACCCTACCTTTTGCCTGCAAGGTTAAATGCTGCGACCTTCTTGGAATTTTTAAAGGCTGAACATGCAAATATGTGGGATGATGTTATGTTAGATTGGCCTGGTTCCAGCTTGACAGTTGTCCAGCTCATTATTCGAGAATAGTTAGAAACTGGCTGGACGAAAATTATCCAGAAAGATGGATCGGCCGTGGAGGACCAGTCGACTGGCCTCCACGATCCCCTGACCTAAATCCATTACATTTCTTTGTGTGGGGATTTCTAAAAGAAAAAGTGTACCAGACTCCCGTAACCACAAGAGATATGCTAATAGACAGAATCAGGAATGCATGTGATGAAATAAGGCCTTATTTGAATAATGCTATACCACGTTCGATCATTTGTAGATGTGAATTGTGTATTGAACAATTGGGTTTACATTTAGAGCAACTACTGTAGATTTTGTATGTTTGCCCTAACTATCCAATAGCATTTTAGTTGTAAATAATTAATTTAATTTGTTAAAAATAATATTGGAAAATTAAACAAATTAATATTCTGTTTTTTTGTGTTTATTTGGAGTTAGGAATTATTGCTGTCAGTTTTTTTATTCAAAAAGCAAAAAATTGCGCTAAAAAAAATTTTCGGACATTTTAATACACTACAGGTACAGTAAGTACAGAGCGCCCTCTAGTGGCTACAGTAAACCCTTGTATACCAATTTTCACTGTTATACATCAAATATTGTTCGAAATATTTAAAAAAAACTATTTTAGAAAGTAAATTTAAACACCCTGTATTTCGGAAGCCACGCATTTTTCGACCCATGTTTATATAGACTTTATGCATTAATTTTAAAAGTTCTATCGAATCTTAGAGTTATGCAACAATAAACTGAAACACCCTGTATACTATACAACATTACGCCGAACAACATCATAGAGTTACACTCCAAGCATATACGCTCATTTAACATATATAGATACCTTGTATGTCGCCGCACTGCTTGCCTGCTCTGATTGAATACCAAAGATATAATATCCATAAATAACCCAGTCTTCTGAAAATATTTTTAAGGGCAAGTGTACGGGGAAATCTGTGGTGTGTGAAATATCTAACAGGTAAGTAAAACTACCGAGATTGGTAGTGTTTTGATATCCTAATATCAAAAAATTGCGATACACCTCCCTCACCCCGTATAACCTCCACCCCCCATTTTTCGAAATGTTTCTCGATTACAATACTGGGATGTGAAAATAATCGCATGTAGTCCTGAATTCCAGTAACGTACTTATAAATCGGATTGTTGGGATAGCAATGTTTTAATAATATCTTTCTGAAAAGGCTAGCGTGTCGGATGAAAGATACACCAAGATGTAAAAAAATTCACAAACAGTCGAACAAACAAAAACAATGACAATGAGCAAATATTTTACACGTTAGACGTAAAAATACGAAAACCTCAAAACTTGCTACACTAGATGGATTTTTGAAATTTCTAGTGGAACGCTTTTGGAATACTGCATACTGTTTATTGTTCTTAATTTTTTTAAATCTCATTTTCCTTGTATAAGATTAATCAGTTTTATAATATACCAGCTATTATATCTTGTTAAACATTTCATATATTTTACGATCTTGCTACTGAGATACAGGATGTTCGATATCATCTCTTTTAATTCATATAATTTTAATGTCTCTTAAATAAAGTGAGAAATGCGAATCGACGGTAGACATTAATGGACTTAGTCTAGGTTAGTTATATCCGACTCAATTATCCCAGGAGCGGTGCTATTAAAGTGTAATAGGGTATTACGGGGTTTAATTAAGTACGCCACTGTTTTCTTTGTCAGTTCCATCAAGGGATTTACGAAAATATAGTCTCTCCTGCTTGTAAACAAGTAGTTTACGAGTTTGAAAATTATAATATCAATAGAACTCCCAGAATTAAACATAAATGCGGGAATAACCCTTGATCGCCGCTTTATTCATCAGTAAATGAGGAAAACAACAAGACATTGAAATATATATATATATATATATATATAAGGTGTCCGGGGGTGTTAAGGCCCAGGAGGGTAATAAGGCCCATAGAATGTTTAACGAAAACAAAATGAGAAAAGTGCAAAGTGCTGCCATCTATTAGCGCGTATGTTAACCTGAATACGTATAGTAATCAGCTCTGGACATGGCGAATACACATTTGGCAGTTGGACTTAAAAGTTGGTTGGGGAAGTTGGCGTTGTGTAGATTTTATAAGAAATCTGTTACTTTCGTTGTTTTAACGTCTACATTAGAGTGTACGTGTATACTCCAAATTGCAGGTATGTAGTTAGTGACTATTTAGAACCTCTCTTCTAAGTTTTCAAATTGATTATTGATAGTTTATGGTGTTTATAACCTAAAAATGTAAAACCGTGCGGTGCGGGTGATAAAGCCCACCGAATTCTTGGCTGGGCCTTATGACCCGCAACTGTAATAAGGAATGGTAATAGTGTAACATTTGTTTTTCTCGCCTTTTATAGAAATGGGGAAAAAATGCCGTGGTATGCGTGCTAATTGGACGCAGGAAATGATGGAGGAAGCAATGTCTTTGCTGAGAAAAGGTGAATCGCAAAGGTATGTCGAGCAACGATGCGGAATACCAAGAAGAACACTACGCAATCATATGAAGACTGGCAACTCCATACGAAAACTGGGTGGAAAGGCTATCCTTACCAGTCAAGAAGAAGATGATTTGGAAGAAAAAATAATTCGTTTTGCCGACAGAGGATTTCCCCTGACACCAAAAAGGGTTTGCAGGTGTGTTTACAAATATGTAGAAGACAAGAAAATACCACATAAGTTCAATAAGGACAAAAAAGCCGCGGGCAGAGATTGGTACAGGGCTTTTATGAAACGACACCCCAGTTTATCACTTAGAAAAGCACAGTCTATGAATCCGGCAAGGGCCCAGAAGCTGAACCCAACTATTGTGAACGACTATTTTAATAAATTATCGAATATCCTGACTGAAACTGGACTGAAGAATGAACCATCAAAAATTTATAATATGGACGAGAAAGGGTGCAGATTAACCCTCCATCACCAACAAACTGTATTGGCTCAAAGAGGAGCTAAACGTGTTCATCTTGTAGCACCGGAGCACGCAGAAAACGTAACAGTAGTAGCATGCGCGAATGCTTTAGGAAATGCTATCCCGCCCATGATCTTATTTAAAGGTCAGAGGTTGAAGCCAACTTTTAAGGACGGTTTACCTCATGGTTCTGCAGTAGCGATGACACTCAAAGGAAGCATGACTACCACAATCTTCATACAATGGCTAGACCACTTTGCAAAATATATGTCTGAACGTCCGGTTCTCTTAATTTTCGATGGGGCTGCTTCACACTTAGACGTTTCAATTGCAGACAAAGCACAAGAACTGGGCATACATTTGCTATGTTTGCCTAGCAACACCACCCATGAGCTTCAGCCCATGGACAAAAGTGTCTTTCGTTCCTTCGAGCACTTTTGGGATGAGGAACTTCTGTCATACTGGGATAAGTACCCAGATAGAAAACTAAACAAGGAACGCTTTTCGGATGTTTTTACTCCAGTCTGGGGAAAATGCATGTCCATAGATAATATTGTCAGTGGTTTCCGAGCTACTGGAATCTATCCCTTCAATAAGGAGGTGATTCCTTTGCATGCTTATGATCCCAGTTTACGAACATACCGTCCACCTGAAACGACGACAGCGCAAAATACTGAAAACAATATCCAGGAATGGGAACCGGAAGATTATATTCCTTTAGCATTATTACAAGCTACAGCTAGGGAAAGTAGAACAGATAAGGCTTCCAATTCATTTACACAACACTTGATCACACCTGGCAAGACAATTGAAGTCACTAAAGTCCCCAGAAAAAAAGCGCTAAACTATAAAGCGCAAGTAGTTACAAGACAAGTTTTTGAAAGTAGAAAAACCGATTCAGTGCAACACCAACCCGATCCAGTACGTGTAACTTCCAGTAGCTGCAAATCAGCCGCACCATCACAAGACCAAAGGCAATCGTCTACTAAAGAAAGTTGGTTTTGTGTTGCCTGTACTGAGGATTTCATTGCAGATATGAGAAAATGCATTCAGTGCGATAACTGGGTGCATGAAGAATGCATTGGTATGACGGTTGAGGACGAAGAAGATGTCGTATGCCCAAATTGTACTCCATAAATTTGTACATCATGCTATGGGCTTTATCACCCAACACTGTTGGTAATAAGGCCCAAATGACAAAAATTATTCGAAGTATTTTTTAAAGAAGTATTAATGTTATTTTTTCTTTTTAAAACACTACAATGTTTTATTACTGATTGTTATACTCAGTTGAATAAATATTTTCCACATTTTATTGATGTGTATTATTTTTATACCTACATTTCCCTTAGGTGGGCCTTATAACCCCCAGATACCTTATATATATATGAGCAGTAATCATTGTCATTGCCAATGACCAGTTGGGCAAAAAATACAATTGATTATTAATTGGGAAATTGGCAAATTTTTTGGCTTACGTTGACTCTTTTGACGATAAAATCAAGCTTTCGGCATTCTCTATGGAGCCTTCATCAGGATTCTGAAAACACAAATGTGATGCTAGCAACAGGACCGACTTGAATTGTCAAACAACTTACTCGTCGTTGAGGCTGCAGCCAAAAGGTGTTTCAAAAGGAACGTAGTTTCCTTTTGAAACACCTTTTGTCGGTCCTGTATTGGTTGCTAGCATCACATTTGCGTTTTCAGAATCCTGATGAAGGCTCCATAGAGAATGCCGAAAGCTTGATTTTGTCGTCAAAAGAGTCAACTTAAGCACAAACGTTTGCCAATTTCCCAATTAACCATTAATTGTATATATACAAGGGTGACTTCGAAGTTGAGTCATTTATTTTAACAGTGAGTAGATCTGATCAAAAGAAATGTTTTTTTCCTTTACCATTTTTCTGGTAAAATTAAAGTAACAAAGTTATAGCCCTTTGGAAGTTTGAGTACCGCCCTGTCTCAATAATAATATCATGTGCTCGTGTTTGGCAACAACGGATATAATCCGCCTTACCGGTTCATCGCATCGGAAACAAAAAAGCGAAAGAATTTGGAACGATGTTTTTACAATAAATTATTTTATTCAGTTCAGTTATACATACAGTCAGTGTCAGTCGGTTAGCGTGTGAATAGTGTCTGTTGCGTGGCTCAAACGAAATAAAAAATGGCACATGTTTATGCGGATCGGTTTCCCAATCGAGTGCAACCAACCCCTCGTGCCTTTGTTAATGTAGTACAACAAGCTCGTGAATCAGGTGACTTAAGACCTCACAGGGGACCTCACGATCAAATACAGGTCCGCACTGAAATACTTGTCGGGAGGATACTTTATAAAACAAGGTAAAAATTTTTTGTTAATTTTTTTTTATTTTTACACACATATTCTGGTTTATCTTCCTTCTACAATCATTATCTGAAAATTAATGACTCAACTTCAATGTCTTTACAAAATGCTACCGCGGCATCACGGATTTATGCGGATCGGTTTCCCAATCGAGTGCAACCAACCCCTCGTGCCTTTGTTAATGTAGTACAAAGGGCTCGTGAATCAGGTGACTTAAGACCTCACTGGGGAGGGCATGCCGGTGTTCCAAGACCGCACGATCAAATACAGGTCCGCACTGAAATACTTGTCAGGAGGATACTTTATAAAACAAGGTAACAACATTTTTTTTTTTTTTTTTATTTTTACACACATATTTTGGTTTATCTTCCTTCTACAATCATTATCTGAAAATTAATGACTCAACTTCAAAGTCACCCTGTATATATATATAAATGAAACCCTATTTCCCGTGGTCACGCATTAACTTGAGAACGACTTTACCGATTTCATTCATCTTTTTTTTTTAGGTTACCTAATACTGTGTAGAAGGTTGCTACGGCAAGAAAAATCAAGAAAATTGGGCAGAAAAGTGGTAAATCATTGAAAACCTAATGATTATTTGAGCTACGCGCGTTTGACAGTTCGCTTGAGCAGAAGAAATACCCCAAGTACCAAAAGAGACAGGCAATCCTCTCCGCCATTTTTATTCCAACAGC